GATATATATATATATATATATATATAAAACATTAATTAACTTAAATATTGTAATTTTTAATGACTGATTAATACATAGTAACCTTGTTAATGGCCTTTCTGCCATACAGAAGTCAGATTTTTTTTATTGGGATTAAGTAATAAGTAAATTATAATTTTTTCTCCCTTTTAGCGTGTTGTTATAAGACCTATAGAAAAAGTTGTCAAAACAGCAACATTTATATGGCAAAGCTTGCTCTATGGGTTATAGGACCTTTAAAAAAATTTAATAACTGAAAATTTGCTTTTACAAAAAAAGTACTAATAATTTATCACTAAGTTTTAATGAACCACAAAACAAGTTTCAGTGTTAAGTGAATTCCAGAAGCAATATATTTTTTATACTTTCAGTACATATGGTTTAATATTAATCTACATATTTGAACATTAATATCTAGAACTCTGGCAAGCAACAGTCAGGTTAGTTGCCGCACCACCAGAGCTCCATATCCTTGGTACAACGTGACTCAGCTGATCCTCCGTATTGATAATGCAACTCTTACTCTCCCAAGCCCTTTCATCTACACAGAAGATCCAAGCATACTTCGAATCTACCCTCTAAAGAGTTTTGTAAGGTTAGTTTATGAGTTATCTTGGTAAAAATACCTAAGAATTATATAAAACCAAATAATTCTTAACCCTGTAATATACAACTGTGGTTACTTTTATGACAATGGCCTGTTATAGTGTCATATTTGTTGCATAAATTTATCTTGAATTATAATATTAAATTATTCAAATACACATAACACTTTTATTGATGAATGGTGATCAATTTTGTTTTTTGTATAGAACTCCTATTATTTATTAAAAAATGTTCATATAGACTGGTATCTATCTATTTAGGAATGAACGATGTGTTTGTAATTGTTTTGGAAATGTTATGCATATTTAAATTTTTAACAATTCGATGTTTTAGTGGTGGAAGAAGCGTCACAGTTGATGGAACATATTTGTCTTCCATTCAGCAACCTTGGATGGCTGTATTCAAAGATAACTTTCGCCTCAATAAAACGGTATGGAAGCTTGTTTATTTGAGCTATAGCGATAGTTTGAAACAAAACAAAAATTTTTCAGGTTAATATTAGAATATATTTTGTATGTAAAATATTTTCATTAAATTTTTGTTCTACAACATTGGATTGTTTGGATTTATTATTGTACAGCATTCAGCACTGAAGTGCCAGATTCATTAACAGCTATTAAAGTGTGTCATTTCTGCTCTCAATTTTAGGATTTTTCTACAGAAAGAAGATCCTTTTGATTCAGTTGAAAACTTCAGTGATTTTCTTTTTTCAAACTCATTTTATTCAATCATTTATTAATAATTTAGAGTAGATGTGATATGGAACCTAGTAATTCTGTTAAGCTGTTCTAATTTATATAAATTGATGTGACCTTCATCTCATAATTTCTGTTCTATATATTTTAGCTCTGTACTGTACACAGTCACAGTCAGATGGTTTGCCCTTCTCCAGCCATTACCCAAGAGGTTGAAAGGTTCCTTGCTAGCCAAGGCAAAAGTGTTATGGAGGCCTCTGATCAGCTGAAATTTCGAATAGGATTTGAGATGGATGAAGTGAAGAGTGTATTGGAGCTACAGAAAAACTTTCCTACCCTTCACTCAGACATGACTTATGTCCCTGATCCTCAGTTTTCTAATTTCAAGAAAGATGGTGTTAAACAATACAAAGGGGAATCTTTAGTAATTGAGGTGAGAATAATTATGCAAAGCTATGAGGCTGTATCAAATCTAGTATTGAATAAAATATTATGTTATTAATATTGGATGTTTTTTTTATGGGGCAGTAAATGCCTTTAGTGATTCTTAGTAAAATTGTGTATATTTTATTATAAGTGTACCATGAGAATATTAACATGTAACATGCATTAGTCATTGCTATACAGTGTAATATTTCAGTGGTTCATCCATGTGGCAGTCTTCCTGTCCTCATAAGTTGTAGGAACATGAATTACTAAATTAAACCAAGTAACCTTCTAAAGACCACCCTTTGCGAAAGGATTACTCTTAACCTTATTTATTTTACAAGCAAAAAAGTTGAAGCAAAAGTTTTTAGCAATTGTTAATTCAAGCATTTAATATAGTTATGAAAAGATTACACCAAGAAAACTTGTCAAAACAACCGAATCTGAATGAAAATTATGCAAGTAATGAATTTCTACTAGTACATGTAAGATAAGAAAACTATTTGAAATATAATTTTACTTTCACACATTTGGAACCGGTTTTGATATTTACATTTCATTTGTTACGTCTTCGATTCTAATTACAACCACAATTATTATCTTGTGGCAAGACATATATATATATAAATAACTGTTACTTTTCATTGGAAATCACATTGAAATTGGATATCTTAGTCAATTCTGTATTAGATATTAGTTAATTTGATTTATGGTTCATTAACCACTTTCTAGAGTTTCAATTCTCAGTATTTGATAGTTCATTGTTGCAAGCAAGAATAATCATCATTTATTACTTTCAATTGAATGTTTCTGTCAAACAAGGGCAAGGACCTTCTGTTAGCTACTACAGAATCTGAAGTTGTGGTGACAGTTGGAACTCGAACTTGTAACCTGACCTCATTGACCATGACCCAGTTAGTGTGCCTACCTCCACAAGACCAACCCCCAGTCAGTGATGAGCAAAGAACGGACACTGATCTACCTCTGGTGGTGGTAAGTGAGAATGTTTTTATTGACATTTGCCTTAGAGATTGTATATTGAACAAAGTATTAATTTTGTGTCAAGTACACACTTAATTTTTACATCTTTTTATATCTTCTTTTTGTGATTTAAAATAGAAACACACTTCTGGTGTTTCATATGAAAAGCATTTTATAAATTACCATGGTGATTGTCATTCAATTGATATAAAAGATGTCATGTTATAGAATTGCTTACTTAATTCTTTATATTTTATATGTAACATCTTAAATCAAATATCTCAAGTTCTACAAGTAGAGATTATAGAGAGAAAAGTATAACTTCACTTATATAACCTCAAAACTGGAATAAGTAGATATAGTTATCATTTAATAGATGTATTTATTCCTTTTTTAAAATCATGCAGGTGCACATTGGGTCCAACTTACAATATGACATTGGATACCTGCGTTATGAAGTGACAAAGGCATATGAATTTCCAACAGAGGCTATATGGGGTATTACTGCAGGGGGTGGGCTGCTCATGGTCTTAAGTGTGGTGATTCTTATCATCTTACGACACAAGAGCTCTCAAGCAGAACAGGAATACAAACGTATCCAGTTGCAGATGGATACCTTGGAAAATAGTGTTCGATCTGAGTGTAAGCAAGGTGAGGTATTGTATATTGTGGAATTGAGATATAAAGATCTTTTAAGAGTATAAGCTAGTGTAAGTAAAAGTGGTTAGGCATGTTTTCAATGGGGTCTGAGTTTTAAAATGTTATGAAATATCACATAGTGCCTACTTGAATTAAGCATATTTAACATATTAAACAATGTAGTAATCTAAATGTCAAAGGAATTACAAAATTAAATTGTATAAACTAAGCATAAGCTAAGCTAACAATACTACCGGATTTTAAATATCACTAAGGTTACTAAACTATATAACGTGAGAATAAGAATAAAGATTTACATACAATTTATTGCATCATGTCTTCTTGAGCAGAAGAATGACTGATAATACCATAAGCCGGAATGAAATAATACCTAAGAACACTATAATACAGTGTTGTTTAGTGTAAGCAAATCCAATAATTCTGCTTAGTAGAAATAAAATTATGTAGTAGTAGCTAAGTTTAAAAATTGGAAATAGTATAGTGATAAGCAAGTCAAAAGCCTGTAGTCTTCAAACTGAAACAGTAGCATTCTGTATTTTTCAGCTTTTGCAGAACTTCAGACAGACATGACAGATATTACAAATGATCTTCACGCCTCTGGGATCCCAACGCTAGACCACAGGACATTTGTCATGAAGGTGTTTTTTCCAGGTGTTTGTGACCATCCTTTGTTACAGGATAAGGTAAGCCTGCAGCTTTTGTAGGTTTGTACTAAACTCTTTGAATTTCCTTTGAAAATCATCTTTATTATATCAAATCATTTTTCTGTACAAAGTTTTAAAAATAAAAATAAAATAAAATAGCAGCTTTGATTAACCTCATATTTCTGTCTTATAGATTTTAGTAACTACATTTATTATAGCTGGGAAAGTTACTAAAGGGCCTGGGAACACCCAAGGAGTCAAGAGACAACCAAGAAGCCTGCCAAAAATGGTCCAAAAGGACCTAGTAACATAAGATAGGTAGAAAAGGGCATATAAAAGGTCAAGGCTGGGGTTCTTAATCCCTTGTCTATCCTAGTTTTCAAAATAGGTCAGTTTGGCATAGCCAGGTAGCTAGGGTGCTCAACTCTCAATCTGCAGGTTGCAGGTTTGAATTTCAGTCCCACCAAACATGCTCACCCTTTCAGCTGTGGGGGCATTATAGTGTGATGGTCAATACCACTATTTGTTGGTAAATGAGTAGCCCAAGAGTTGGTGGTGGGTGGTGATGACTAGCTGCCTTCCCTCTAGTCTTTCACTGCTCAATTAGGGACAGCTAGCACAGATAGCCCTCGTGTAACTTTGCACAAAATTCGAAACAAACCAAAAATAGGTTAGGGCAACCTTAACTACAGCTTCTCAGAGATTTGTAATATTTCTGTATTTTTATATATATAGTTGTCTCCTCTTCTTGTGTATTATTTCGAATGTTTAAAAATTATTTTAAGGATAACTGTGTCAAATAAAAAAATATGTAGCTTTTATTTACAGATAATAACAGCATAAAAAGATTCTATAGCTATACAGAATTTCTCTGGGTTAACCATGGTACCTTTGTGTAGAGCATGAAATATGACTCCATTCTTTTACTTTGAAATAAATACCGGGAAAAAAAGTTGCATCTCAAGTTCAAATGATATTAAATCACATGGGTGTTTGTATGAATTTATTAACACATTTCTAATTTTTTTTATTTACAGATGATGTCCAATGGGTTCTGTAGTAATTATGATGTGGCTATGAACCATTTTCAACAGCTCTTACTTAACAAGACATTCCTCATCCTCTTCATTACTGTTTTAGAATCACAAAAAACCTTTACTATACGAGACAGGTAGGTAATCTGCATTCATAACTGTTATACTGCACACAGATGTTTGATTTTAGGAAACTGTTGAATGATGGTGTTTGGTTAGATAGCAAGTAAATTCTTGAAGCTTCTAGTAATCTTCAGATTGTTTTTTGTTGCCCTGATTATGTTAGCATGTGATTATATTTTCACAAGTTCTGCTCTACTGTAGTTTTTACTGATAGCTACACTGTTACAAACATTTGACTTTGTTAATTTTTAACATTTATTAAATATTATAACTTACTTCTGATTTAAAAGCTTTAGTTGTTGGAGAATTCTATTTTTTCTACACTGAATGTCTATTTGTCCACATGTATATATATATATATTTGCATGTTCAAATAAAGAATTAAAACAACATAAATTAGGTGGAAAAAATAAACAGCAAAAAAAAGGAAAGTATAACAAAAGTTGAAAATTAGAATATAACACTAATAATTAAATTTACAACGAATGCAAAAAAAATATTGTTATTATTTTCCTCCCTAGGTTAAATTTCATATCTTAGTAAACACTACACTTATTGAATTATTTATTTAGTTGTCTTTTAAAAATTTCACACAATTTTAAAATGGCACTGAATTAGTGTATTTAAAATACCTTCTGAAAATTTTGAAACAAATGTTGTCAAATGTCATTGTTTTAAACAAGCTTTTGTGCTTTGGTAGGGTCAATGTAGCATCTCTGCTGATGATCATTCTAATGGAAAAGATGGATTATGCTGCTGAGTGAGTTTATGTCCCCTTTTAGTATTTTGTAAAATTAATAGTAATTACAGGATCCTTAGAAGACAAGAACTATTTAGGTGGCAGTGAGCTTTATAGTTTATCTAAAACACTATTATAATATAAATAAATTGAACATGTAATTAGTAAGTATTATATTAGGTTGTCAAGAAATTAATGTCACTTTTTTTTAGATTAAAAACCAGAACAACTTATATATCAAAACAAAACATTTAGTAAATG